TTTCCCCATTGCGAAGATCGGGTATGTTTCCGTATAGCGATCCCGAAAAAGGGATCGCTATACGGAAACATCGCTATACGGTGCACTCGCTAAGCGAGGCACCACTGTATAATTGTTCTGACAAGAAAAAAAATTGAAATCCTTTCCTATAGCCAACTCCTGCTTCATAATAAAGTTTCTTGTTGCACATAAATCCAACTTACTTGAAAAACGTACATAATAATGGTTGCAACGGGGCAAAACTATGCACCTAGAAAAGTATTTTTGTAGTTCTGTTAAAAACGGAGAGAAAATGGTACAAACTAAAGAAATCAATTACACTGTTATTCTGTAAATAGATCTACCTTTGGAAGAAGTATTTTTACATTGTTAAGAGATTACAACCAAATAACTATTTTCAAATGTTTTTATAGTGTTATTTTAGCCGATTGTGATTATTATATCTACTGTATATAACTGAAACAGACATTTCATAATCCATTTGTGATGTAGAGGTGCTCATTTGTGAAAATGATTTACTTGTCAATTCTGATGAGTCATTTCAGATAATCTCATCTATTTTTTCCTACTAGAATTTTTCCTACATTTGATTATTATGAAGTAGCTGAGCTATTTACAAATATGCTTTGATAAAGCTACTGTTTTGGGTTTTTTTCCATTCAATATTCCAACTTCCAACAGTTCATTGTGTGAGCATTTCTGGACCATTTCTGGACCAGATAAGGAGCGGGTCTTAAAACTGATAACATATGTACATATTACATATTTCCATTCTCCCATTGTACCCACATTTAGACATACTGCTCTATCACATTTCTACAATTTAAAACTTCACTAGCACTGCCTACTTTCTACTGAACCCCCTTCTACTATCTGTTATCTGAACCTTGTGTTGTGATGGTCATTTAGTTATAATTCCGAAGCTATCAGAATAGTTAGTGCAACATGGCAGCACTTAAGTTTCAGAGATCAGTATCCTCTTCCATAACTGTCCTGGCACACACAGTGTACAAAAGTTGCACAGAACCCAAAATCAAAGCAAGAACTCATTCATAAGCAGCAATTTCTAACTGCCAGTGACATCACTCCCACTATGCCTGTGGAACGATGGAACACGGTACTGGCCTGAGTAGTACTTTATGTTCATGAAACCCAGAATGTTCACAGTCCATGTTGTATAAGAAGTTCTTTGCAATTAAGTTAAATAAAAAATTCCACCTCTCTCTGGTTTTTAAGTTCATAAATACCTGACCTAAAACATTATCCAAGACTAGTTTTGACTTTATCAGAAATATAGACTGCATCATGTATGATATATAGATTGTAGACAGTACTGTGTTGTCCTTAGCACTAATCAAGGAAAACACATCACGTGGAAATAATGGCGGCATCATCTGCTTCATCTTCAATTATTATTTTTAATCTTAAAGAAATTACACTGGCAGAACTTGCAAGTTTTAGTCAAGAAAAAGTAAAAAAAAATCTCTCATTTTGCTTGGGAGCAGGGAGAGAACTAGACAAGAATAAGGTTGAACAACATTTATTTGGAAAGAAGCCTATTTAATATTAAACACTCAATGACAATCGAATGTGTAACAGAAATTCTTAGATACTTTATTTCCATTAGGGTATATCAAGAAGCTAGGTATAGCCTGTTTGTAAAAATGGGATTATTTTTTGTCTGAGACACACAAATACTAAACATTTATTCTTGTATTTTCAAAGTTCAAGAATGAAAACTTGCAATTAAACACTGAGCAAGCCATGTGTTCAGATTATATTGGTTTATAATCTTAAAAGTCTTTTTAAGAAAAATGATAAAAGGACTTAAATTCTCAGTAGCCTGTTTAATTAATTTTTCTGCACTCTGAGAGGTCACAACAGTCCTGAATTTATTTTTATTTTTTAAAAAATCTAACTGAACTTTAATTTTTTTTCTATGCCACTACAGCTTTCTTTCACCTCATTTTAAAGCAGATCTTCATGTCAAGCAGTCTTCTGGATTCTTCGCAGACTGGTCACACTGCTGTCCTATAACGCAAAATGTTGGGGAAAAAGAGTCAGATAATGGGAGCAGACATTACTTTCCTTTGATACTCTTAAATACTCTTTGCTGCCTGCTTAATTCTTCACAATTATATATTACACCTACAGCCCTATGTATCTGACAATAAAGGACAAACATGATGTCACAATTCACCAGTCAATGCTGTTGGAAAACCATCTCCTATTCCAAAAGAACTTGCATGGCAGTCTAATGCAAGTGCCATTGAAATGAATGGAAGCTGTGCAACATCAGTGCTCTGAGAACTGCAATTCTATGCATACTTCCTGGGAGTAAGCCCCACTGAGCCCAGTGGAATTTAACTCTGAGTAAACATGCATAAGCCTGCACTGTAGTCACTTAGTAGCTCTTTGGAAATATACTAAAATTAGATTAATTTATTTCCTTATAACATAATCAGTGAGTTTTCATTTAGATTATTCCTTAAAGGAATGACTCTGAAAAATCACAGGGGAAAAATAAATGATTTATATTGAAAGTTTAGTTCCATTCAGCTATCCAATGTGGCCATACGTATTCTTGGCATTTATATATACCTATTGGGTGTTCTTGGCATTGGCCTTTATTTTTCATTTGCCTCCCAAGTCTGGTTACAGCCAGTATATGTTGCTGCGTGCCATGGCTGCCTGGCAATTTCTCCTACGCAGTAGGAAATTATAAACACATACCTCTTAAAGACTTGAAATGCATTGAATGTAACAAGGCGATTATTATGTAGTATGTATTGCATTAAATACTCTTTAAGATATCTAATTCTGGGCAGCACTGCATCCCTACACACAGTTGAAAGAAAATTCCAATCAAGTTAATATCAGGTTAACAGTTTTTACAAAATATGCACAAAGATTCCTTTTCACTTTTTGTAAATAAAACACAACAGTAAGCTTAAAGATTACAGGCAACAGCATTCAAACATGGATGTGGGTAGAGAAAGGAGTACCTGGCATGAGTACCTGCTTAGTTTGACTGAATCCTTGATTTTTAATTTGGCTTTTCATGGGCCGCTCACAACACCAACGCTGTGTGAGGTATGGTAGTCAGCTGCAATTATTCATAAACCCTACACTTCCATCAATCCAATGCTACTGGCTCTCGAGTTACAGAACAAACTGCATTAGAATGCAAGGCAAAGCAAAAAAACTAGAAACATCCTTGACAAAGAAATACTAGCAGTTTATATAAAAACAAAATAGTCCAACATGTGCCTCAAATATTAACTATTAAAGCAAATGTTTCTGATGCACCAACACAATATGGACTTAATTACAAAATCAGTTCAAATGTTAAAAAAGATTACAAATCCCCTAAAAATAAAAAACTAGGATAATTAGTTTCTAAGGCGACTATAATTACAAATATGTTCCCAAGAGGCACACTAAGGGAGGTATGAGTCTGCTACAAAATAGCCGATACAAAACAATGTACCTCAAAAGATTTTGCAGGACTACACTGTGTTTTCCTTCAGAAGTGGCTTTAGTATTTCTTCTGACTTGACTTAGCTCCATCTTCATCTGTACATACTTACGCTGCACTGTTAAACAGTAACAAAAAGCCCTAATCAAAGTTTGAAATGATGCACTTACCTCTGTCTGATCTGAGGTCATATCAGATCAGTTTTAATTGGACTGAGTGTCACCTTCAGATTTAATGTCTTCACTGGTTCCATTGACCTCATTCTTAGTATCGCCTTCCTTGGAGTCCATGCTTGTGTCTTCACTCTGTTTTTCTCGACTACTGGACTTCACACTACTTTTTTTATCATCAGATCCCCTTTTTTCTGCCATGAAAGAAGACATTGACCATGGACATCACAGTAAACACCTATATGGCATCTGAGGAGTATATTCTGAAGCATCAGCTATGGCTGTAAAACTGGAAACTACAAATCAAAGTTGCAGTTCTAAAATTAAATGAGTTATTACATCAGAAAGAACAAGTGATGAATAACAGGATTCAAACGAGAAGTGAACATAACAACATTGAGAGGAGAAAAGTACTGCTCAAATTGTAATATAAATTTATTACAACAGAAACCTTTCACTAGTGTGCTGAAAGCCACGTGTGTACCATCTAATCGTAAAACACCTAGTTTCATTTAGATTAGCAAGAGATATATTAAACCACAGATTTATGGCAGTAAATGTCTCTCGTGTATTTTAAAATTAGTTTTTAAGAAATCACATGGAGAAAATTATAATAAAAAACAACAACACCTTCAAACAGGCTGCTGGTTGGAAGCTTAACAGCAGTTTCATTGCTTTTTTAGAGAGTGTCCTAACTGCACATAAAGAGCTAGCAGTCTTTGATATTTGGACTATCTATGTATACTACCTAAAATTCTACAATACAGTATGTTAATCTTATGCTACAAAAACTGTCATTTCTACTGACTTGCTTGCTAATATTTTTGAGAATCCACAGCTCTGGTAAAAATTTTCTCCATGTCCTCCTCCCAAACAGGAGCAACTGCTTCTTCCTCATTCTTTCTAGATCCTCTCCTATTTATTTCTATGATTAAAACACTGAACATATTTTACCTTCATCTGCCTGCTATGTTCAATCACCTAATCAACAGTAGGGGGCTGTCTCCCTATTTTCACTACTACAAAGGGAGAAGCACTGTCTATGTAAGACTGGGCTCAGACTTAAGAATTTGTGACAGAAGGGAGGAATAAGCAAAAACAAACCAGCAACACTTTGATCGTGTTCATCTTCCTAGCAAATCTTGACCTAATTTTCATATGCAAAACTATAAATAATAGCCCACACAAACTTGTTTGAAAGATAAAATGCTAATAGAAATCAACATTAATTGAAAATACGAAAACAAGGGTGTTTTTTAAATGACAGTGGTCAGTACAAGGAAGTCCAATGATGGACTGCATTTACAAGCAGCCCTCAGTAAAATGTGTAAAGCCAGAGGCATGCACTTGCCCAGAGAAACTAAGACAAAGAAAATAACTGATAATTTTGCATCTCTCTGTGGCCGCTGCATTCTTCTTATACTCAATGCATTGGGTGTCATGAGTAGATTTCTTATGCAAAACTGTTAACATGTTTTTGTCTTATTAAATTGTTATTTTATTAAATAAATACTGCATACAGTCGGGTCTCTACTTAAGAACGTCTCTACTTAAGAACAACTCCATTTGCTAAATTTTGCTTCTACTTGAGAACAGAAATCCAAGATAAGAACAGGAAAAAAAACCTTTCCTGCTCTTTTTTTAACCTTAGGTCATCTTAGGTTAAAAAAAATTCTCCCCCTAGTGGTAGAGTAGGCATTAATCAGCTTTGCATTAGTTCCTATGGGAACTAATGCTTCAATGTACGAACGCACCTCTACATAACAAAAAAACTGCCAGAATGGATTAATTGGTTTTCAGTCCATTCCTACGGGAAATTTTGCTTCAACTTAAGAACGTTTCAACTTAAGAACACCATTCCAAAACGGATTAAGTTCTTAAGTAGAGGTTCCACTGTAGTTTCTATGGACGGAAAAGAGCAGATACGGATTAAATGGTTTTCAATGCATTCCTATGGGAAATGCAGATTCAACATAAGAACTTTTCAACTTGAGAACCACCTTGCAATACGGATTAAGTTCTTAAGTAGAGACCCCACTGTAATTGGAATACACAGCGCTTGTTAACACACAGGTATTCATTAATTAGCCAGACAAAAGTTCTTATTTTGTCACCAACATAGCTGTTTTAAATGGATTTATTTTTAAAATAAAATAAAATAAAATAAAATAATAAAGAGCCGAAAATAAACAGAAGATACTCTCTCACACAGCTATTTAGGTTAAGTGTTGGAAAGGCATAGCAATATTAAGCTTATAGCCTCCTACAGGAGAAAAGAAAACTTATAATAATTTATTAATCAAGTAACATAAAAATTAAAGAACTGCTCAGGAAAAGAAACAATTATTTAAGATAAAACACCCACTATTGGCTTTGGAAAAACAAAAGTCTAGTTAATTTTAGACCTCTTGTCACCTGCTCTGTGTGACAATTGCCTGGGTAGATTGCACTAACTGACCTTTTTGAAAGTCTTCCATTTTTGCTTTATTAGGCACCGACGATTCACATGTATGTAGATCCACTGAGGAACAGCAGTCTTGTTGCCCCGCAAGAACTAGCAGTCAGTCCAATAAGCTTATCTTCTGTCCTATGTAGATATGATAGAACTCAACAGCCCTATACAGGGGCAGAGTATATAGATGCTCCTGGAAGCATTTTAGGGTTGCTTTGAGTTTGGACAGATCGAAGACAAGAGTTGTTTGTAGCTACAGTTGTTTTGCCAACTACAGAATAGTTACTGACTCTTGGCTTGAAAGATCAAGTTATAATATTGAAAACTGTGTCTTTAAAGTGCTTATTTACTTCACAGTAGAGAATAACACGGTAGAATCAGGAATAATTATAAGTTGTATACCGTATTTGCTGGCGTATAAGATGACTTTTTTGCCCTGAAAAACATGCCTCCAAGTGGAGGGGTTGTCTTATACGCCGGGTGCACCCAGAGCGGGCAGCACATAGGAAAGGGGAAAGAGGAGAGGTGAATGAGGAAGAAGAGGAGGCGACGCCTCTTCTCCTGAGGAGGCAGTAGGCAGCTCCGGCTCTCAGGCGCCGCATGGCCCAGCAGGAAGCAGCATGGAGAGGCAAGCCCAGACTCGGAAACGGGTGGAGCTCAGTTCCTACTAGCTCAGTGACTTCCTTGCACAGTTGCCCTCGCGGAAAGCAGCAGCAGTGCCGCCTCCTTCTTCCCCGTGACCTACCACCATGTTGCCCGGGTGGAGAGAAGCTGGCAAGAAAACGGCGCCTGTGACAAGCCAGCGCTGCTGCTGCGCCAGGCTCCCGAGCGAGCAGGCGCCGGCCTCTGCCTCGGGCCAGCTGGTAGACCACCCCAGAAACTTGCTTTCTCCTCCCTCGTTGGCCCCTCTGGCGGGGTAAAAGGCAGAGAGAGGGGGAGTCTTATATGGCGAGTATATAACGAATTCTAGATTTTGAGTGGAAATGTTGGGGTCGTCTTATACACCCAGTTGTCTTATATGCCGGCAAATACGGTAATTTCTTTTCCCTTCTTTTTAAAAAGAGGGTATCTGCAAGGGTGGCAGGTCCCAGAATGGGACGTTTTGGCGCTGCAGGTTAAACCACAGAAGCTTCTGCGCTGCAAGGTCAGAAGACCAGCAGTTGTAAGATCGAATCCATGTGATGAAGTGAGCTCCCATCACTTGTCCCAGCTCCTGCCAACCTATCAGTCTGAAAGCATGTAAAAATGCGAGTAGATAAATAGGTACCACCATGGTGGGAAGGTAACAGTGTTCCGTGCCTAGTTATGCTGGCCATGTGACCATGGAAGCTGTCTACGGACAAATGCTGGCTCTGCGGCTTGGAGACGGGGATGAGCACCGCGCCTTAGAGTCAGACACGACTAGACTAAATGTCAAGGAGATCCTTTACCTATCTGCAAGGAACATGTTCCTTCTACATATTTCCTTAAGTTGTGATGATGGGCACACATGCACCATAAATATTGGGCTGCGTTCTGCTAAAGTGAACACTTATAAACTGTCTACATATGAGAAACTACAGTGTTTTACTGATATGAATGGAATACAGGGAGAAAAAGGGAAAGCTTACCATCAGATTAACAAAGCTGAAAGCGAACTTGCTCATAGGTGTGAACAAATTTCTTTAAGTATTATTCTGCTTTATGCTCTT